AGGTTTTGTACCAAGTATCTACTGGCACATTTGTGGGAGGCCTAAAAGTCAATGGCCTCTTTTCTTGGTTTGAACCTCTTAGGGAGGCTCTTCTGGGGTCATGTCGAAGATCAACATTTTCCCTTCTCTTATTCGCTGCTCTTACGCCTTGAATGTGCTCAGCAGCTTTTTTGTCAAAGATCGAACTGCATCTTGGACACAGCATCACCTCTGATTTCTTTTTCTGGCATCTTTGTAGAAAATCTGCCAAATTTTCATTTTCCCGAGGGAAAGCAGTCTTATTAGCTTGTTCTTGCCTCATGGCCTCTTCTGATGCTTTTGGGTCAGAAAGTTCGACCATGTTGATATTCATTGTATCTTTGTTAGCAAGAGTTAACTGCTTCATTTGTATCTCCAGATTCTCCGTCTGGCCTTGAACTGTGGCCAAGTGGGAACTGGGTTTTGGTCCAGTTTTTTGTGCTTCAGCGGTCTCCAACTTCGGGCTTTCGAACGCTTTCTGAACTGCTTCAATTGTCTTCCTGGATAAATTTCCAGAAAAACTGCCAAAGATTGGCATGTTGATGTGGTCCTTTGAGACTTCGACCATTGTGATTCCTGGCTTCTTCGACTGGCTCCTGGTTGCCTCTATCACGTTCACCTCAGAGGGCTCAGCATAGTGGGCTTCAGCCTGCAATGGATTTGAGTCGACAGCCATGGGGGTTTTGTCAGCAAACTTTAACCTCCCTTCTTCGATAGCGTCTTGCACAAGATTCCTGAAAAGAAAACATTGAGAAGTTTTATGGCCCAAAAAATTATGATATTTGCAAAAACCTCTCTTCTTTCTTTGATCAAGAGGAGGCACTTTTACCCCTGGGGGTACTATCATTTGGCCATCTTTAACAAGCAAGTCGAATATTTCATCACATTTTGTGATGTCAAAACTATAAGTCTTTTTGGGGAACCTATCGTTGGTCCTTTCTGGACCAATGGGATTTTTCCCACTTGAGGGGACTAACAGTTTACAAGAGTATGGTGGCCCTTGTTTCAGTTCTGCTAAATCGACTTCTCCTTCTTCGACAGCTAAAGTATCGTCGAAGGATTCCGGATCTTCGTCATCCATCTCAACGTATGCTATCCTCTCTCTCTTGTGAGTTTTCGTTGCCTTTGCTTTTTCAGCTTTGAGGCGTTCTACCTGTCGAACTCTATCGGCCAGTTGGGCCATGTCTCTCAGGTATTGGGTGTCTAGCTTCTTCCTAATGGAATAATCTAAACCGCCTGCGGCTATTTCGACTAACTCATGTTCTGGCACTTGTGTAAAGCATCTCGCCTTGAGCAACCTAAACCTATTTAGATATTCGTCTATAGGTTCAGTGAAACGTCTCTTCACACTGGCCAATTCTTTCAGGCTTATCTTGGTTTGCCCCATGTAGAATTGTTCATGGAACAATCTTTCCAACTGGGTCCAATGATGGATCGAATTGGGGGGAAGAGTTGTAAACCAAGTAAAAGCGTTCTTTGTTAAAGAACTTGGGAAGCACTTGATCCTCAGGTTTTCGTTATTCGAAATGTCACCTGCTTCGATCAAGTATCTCGCCACATGCTCGACAGTAGATTCTGTCGTGTCCCCAGAGAACTTAGTAAATTTGGGGACTTTGCATCTAGGAGGTAAGTCTGTCTGTAACACGTACTCTGACAATGGAGATGTAAAGTTGGGCCTTCGAAAGCCCATGTTCATCCCATTTTGAGTCATGATCCTTTCGATCATGGTTGCCAGATTATTTTCCAAACCCGTATTCTGGTATTGGATATGTTGGACTACTTCGTCAGCATTTTGGTTTCTGTTAATTAACCTTACCTCTGGGGTTATTACCCTAGGTTCCTCGACGGGTTGCTCCAATCGTGCCCTAAGGTTTTCTTCGACAGGCTGTTGAGCCTGGTTGATGGTGGTTTCTTCCTCTAAGAATATCCCCTGGTTTCCCCTTATTTGCGCCCTTTGGGGCTGTCGAACAGGTTGGGGTACTCCAAAGAAATCAGTCAAACGCGTCATTTGCGCTGTCACTTGCTGATTCGATTGAGTAGTGTTTTGTATTAGAGGGTTTAGCACTGTACTCAAAGTTTGTGCCAACATTTGCACCATATCATGGTTGCTTTCGTCCATTTGTTGCCTCAAGACTGCTGTCGAGGCATTTGTAAGGCCATGGGCTACTTGGGACGTTCCTCCTAAGAGTTGGGTCCTATTTCTATTCGCCATGCCTACTCCAGAACCTTGGAGTGGCGAAGAGGCACTCACTAAAGGGTCTGAAAAAGTGGACGCAGCATTCGTCAGGCTAGCCAATTCAGAAGTTGGCATACCATAGAGTGGCCTAAATCCTGGTGGAACAAAAGGCGTTGTGCCTAAATTTCCCCTTGGTGGGGGAGTTCCCAAAGGAATCCTGGGGCCCGTGAACGAAAGTAATGGCCCCGTTGCTGTGACCGTTACTGCTGGTGTCGAACCAACAGTTGTCGCATCACTTACGGTCGTACTAACCGTTGCTCCCACATTCGTTTGTGGGATTTCGTTATTATTTGGCGGATTCGCCATCTCTTCCCTTCTTCTGGCAATATTGTTATCGTTAGTGTATATTCTACCACTTCTCAATAACATACAACACTCCTCGAAAAGATGAGATTATTTTCAACAACCAACACACAGTCCCACCGGGTGTGCCAATTTGTTTACCTGGGTATTTGGTAAACAACCGCTGATCCTCCAAATGGTTACTTATTTGGTTACTCGCAGGATCGATCAGATTGATCCTAGGACATAGGTTGATTTTGAAGTTTTGATTAAATTGGATATTGGTTAAATGACAATAGAATAAAGAGGCTTTAAATAAATTGCATGAAGAAAGGACTTGGTAAAATAAATAAGGCTTTAAATGAAAGGGTTTGACAGGAAAGTAAAGAAGAAAGCAAATAAATTTCTGGGAAAGTAAACGACTTTGATTAATAAAGTTGGTGTTTCACACATACATTTCTCAACAATTCTTTCTCACACGCTGGGTACTCGAATCTATATGAGTGACTTTGTATAGAATTGTGAACACACGCGAGAAACTACATGACTACTACTATTTATACTAAAACATCCCAAGTAACCGTCGGGCAGTTACACTGCTTCGAGATGATTCCACTTGGCACGTTCTCAACGTTCGACGCTCCAGATCTTCGCACGTTGCACTTGGTAACCGCTGGAAACCGTTTTCCCTCCAAACGCTTGAATTTCAAACTGCTCCACTCTGAACCATCGAACACCTTCGTCGAGAAGCATCTTCGACGAGAAACTCCTTCGACGTCGAAGGCAACCAACTTCTCCCTTGGAAGAAATCTTTTAAGTACCTTGCCATCTTTTGATGGGCATTTCGACGGACCTAGCTAGTCGAAAACATCCTTTAGCTTTAATGGCTGACATTAATAAAACAAGGGTGTCGAATTTAGGAGCCAACAGGCTGGCACCCTTTAAAGTCCACATTCAGCTGGAATCCTTTAAAATCTACCTCCAGCTGGTATCATTTTGTTGAGAGTCCCCTTCGGCTGGTCTCTTTGCAGTTGTAAGTTCGCCTTCGACCGACATTCTTTTCTTAGGAATCTACCTTCGGCATAGTATTCCTTGATGAAGAGTCCCCTTCGGCTGGTCTCTTTGCAGTTGTAAGTTCGCCTTCGACCGGCGTTCTTTTCTTAGGAATCTACCTTCGGCATAGTATTCCTTGATGAAGATTCCCCTTCGGCTGGTTTCTTTATCCTAAAGTCCACCTTCGGCTGGCATCCTTTAAAATCCACCTTCGGCTGGTATCATTTGTTGAGAGTCCCCTTCGACTGGTCTCTTTACAGTTGTAAGTTCGCCTTCGACCATCGTTCTTTTCTTAGGAATCTACCTTCGGCATAGTATTCCTTGATGAAGAGTCCCCTTCGGCTGGTCTCTTTGCAGTTGTAAGTTCGCCTTCGACCGGCGTTCTTTTCTTAGGAATCTACCTTCGGCATAGTATTCCTTGATAAAGATTCCCCTTCGGCTGGTTTCTTTATCCTAAAGTCCACCTTCGGATGGCACCCTCTAAAGTCCACCTTCGGCTGGCACCCTCTAAAGTCCACCTTCGGCTGGCACCCTTTAAAGTCCACCTTCGGCTGGCACCCTTTAAAATCCCGCTTCGGTTGGTATCACTTGTTAAAATCCTGCTTCGGCTGGTACCCTTTGTTAAAATCCTGCTTCGGCCGGTACCTTTCAAAATCCTGCTTCGGCTGGTACACTTTGTTAAAATCCATCGTCGACTGGTATCGTATGTCGGGAGTCCCATTCGCTTGGCCTCAAGTTCGCCTTCGATTGGTATTCCTTCGTCAGAGCCTTCTTCGGTCGGTATCTTTCTTGTGTATGTCTAACCTTGACCCGACATCCAAGAGATTTTCTCAGCTAATTACTACAATCCAAAGAAAACAAAAAAATATATAATAACACCTGACTGGCTTCGGAGCGCAAATTTTTGGGTTCTTTTTGTATTTAATCTTCTTCCACCTTGAAGGTTCGAAAGGCTCGCGCCAATCTCACCTTTGGTTGAAAGCGATTAAATAGGGGCAGCTGTTGCACCCCAAATTTTTCCGTCCTAATTTCTTCTATCTGGCTTAGACTCTCTGCATTCATCTATATTTGGGAATTTTATTTTTTAGGCATAGTGAAGAGAAGTTTAGATCATGATGTTGGGGTTGCCGAAGCTTTTGATCTTAGTCTTTCAGAAGATCAGTTTATATCACTTTTTCCGACCTCTTTATCATATTTGAGGTTAATTTTGAAGAGATTTGGGGATCTGAGTCACAGAACTTTTAAAAAGATCCCGTACTTCTATTCAAAAATCCTATTAAAAGGTTTTATTCAGTGGAAGAGCTTTTTGCCCAAAGACATATTTGAGGAAGAGTATGGAGAATCTGTCCCATCTTCTGTTCAAGAGCTTCTCTGTCTTACTGATTGTAGTCTCCTTAGAAAATCAATCAATATGTTGCAGTATCACTTTGCTCTTGATGGAGATTCTCTGAAACTGAAGAACCGTTTGAAGCTATTCAAATCCATTTGGCCCACACTTGCCTTGCATGATGAGCTGATGGACTGTCATAGTCAATGTATTGATAATTATTCTCTTTGCCAGTCTTTCAACATAATCAATCACGTTGTCGCAAAGATATCACTTTGTAAAAGGTTACTGTTTCATGATGAAGAAGGTGGGGATTTGAAAGAGGTTGCTCTGGAAATGCAAAGTAATTTGAAAGCATCCAGGATACATTTCATAAATGTTTTGGTGAAAATTTGGCAGCTTGTTGTTCAGAAATTTTCTTTATCCTCTGATCAGTCTGGAACAGGGAAGAGCACAAGCACATTCACCTTCCCCATTCCTCCTAGTCTTGAATCAGAACCCCCAAAATCTTCAAACAAACCAAAAATCCGAGTAATTTATCAAATGGAATCCAATAATCCTTATGAGATTCTCGACGACGATGATGGTTTTGATTGGGAAGCAGCTGCGAGAGAAATCGACGCGGTTTGTCAAATGAGAAGTGGCGCGAAAACGAACGAAAGCGAATTGGAAAAGGTTTGTCAAAAGCGCGAAAAGAGAAATTTGGAAAAGCAAATATCTCTATCTTGCAAAGTTGAAGCTCTGAGTAAAAGAACTGAGGAGTTTCAAGAGCTTCTTAATCAGGAAGAGCAGAAATCTGCTTCTGCAAGAGAGAAACTAAATTTTGCAGTCAGGAAAGGGAAGTCATTGCTGCAACAACGAGACAGTCTAAAACAAACCATTGGAGAGATGAATGTTGAGATGGAGCACTTAAAATCTGAGATCAACAAACGAGAACACATTATTGCGGAGCATGAACAGAAGATGAGGCAGTTATTAACCTACCCAGATAGGTTAAAAGCACTTGAATCTGAGAGTTCTCTTCTGAAGCATCGTTTGGAAGAAACTGAACACCATTTGCAGGAGAAAGAGTATTCCTTGAAACTGATTTTGAACAAGCTAGGTGAGATTGATGTTGCAGGTGAAGGTCATATAAGTGATCCGGTGAAGAAGTTGGAATGGATCGGAAAATTGTGTTCTGATCTCCATAACTCTGTCGCTTCTTTCGAACAGAAATCCAGGAAATCTAAAAGAACATCAGAACTCCTGTTGGCAGAGTTGAATGAGGTTCAAGAAAGGAATGATAGTTTTCAGGAGGAGATTGCTAAAGTGGCTGATGAACTTGTGGATCTCAGAAGAGAAAGGGATTCAGCGGAGGCTGCCAAACTGGAAGCTCTTTCACATGTTGAAAAGTTATCTACATTACATGAGGAAGAAAAAACAGAGCCATTTTTATGAGCTCGTGGAAATAAAATCTAGCATGAACCAAGTCTGGAAAAGCTTTGGTGAGGTTCAGAATTTACTCGCTAAGACTTTTTTCACAGATTTGGAATCTTTTCGGAATGTGGAAGTTGGTCTTGAGTTGTGTATGAAAGGATACAATGCTCCCAATGTGGTGGATTCATCTTCCAGAGAAGAACGTGATGGTATTTTACTAAAGTCACCTGATAATAAGACGGGCTCTGTGTATGCAGATTCTTGGTCAGAATTTGGCACAACCAACCACTATAATGATAATACCATTATTGAAATTTTTCATCTACTTGGGCATAAACTGAAAGAGTTTTTGGTGGAGGTCAGCTCTCTTAAGGAAAGAATACACACGCACTCCAGTTCGGCACGTGAGCAAGACAAAACCCTGTCGAAACTAATGACAAATATTCAGAGAGAAATTACTTCCCAAAGAGAATCTTTTGAAAAGATAAAGACAGAAGTTAGTAAACGAGATCTGCAACTTATTGCATTGCGGGGGAACGTTGCCCACCTTTATGAATCATGCATCAATTCTGTCACTGTAATAGAGAACAGAAAAACTGAACTGCTTGGAGAAAAGGTTGAATTTCCAGATCAAGGGATTAACTTGAAAGCACCGTCATTTGATGATGAAATATTCGAGGAATGTGTTAAAACCATGGCTGATAGACTGTTGTTGGCTCCAAATGGGTTCGCTAGCATAAAAACTGACTTTTTAGAGGCTAATCAAAAGGAAATGGAGGCTTCTACCTACTGGCTTAAAGCCAGAGCAACTTCCAGAGAAATGGTTGTGTGTCATGCTTAATTGGCTGCCTGGGATGAATTCTTGTGACTTCAGTGAGGATGAGACAACAAAGGCATTGTATGCTTCATATCAAGTGCCGATTTCTGAGGGTCAAAATAACTTGCAAACGCATGCCTCTGAAACTGCATTTGGAGTGAGCTCTGCTGATGCATCATAGTTTGGTCTGAATCACAAAAAGTCCAATTCTAACGTGTTACTTGACCAAGGAAAGAAGAAACCTGTTTTTAAGGAAAAGATAATGTCAGGAAAGCTCAATGCTCAAGTATCAGGAAAAAATAGAAACTTGAATCAACATTCTACATATTCTAAACCAATGAAGATGAAACATCCCAGCAGGTCTAACAACACGATAGAAGAGAGACATGTGTCCGAAGAGAGAGAAAAGCAAACAAGTGAAGGTACTAGAAAGTATATTAAGTTGAAACGTAAAACAGATGCTGATCAATCTAGTTCTGGAACTCCTAAGAAATCAAAAACTGAACATGTTCCCTATGCTGATAAACAACTGAATCCTGGCAAGGGCCTTGGGAAGGTTGTTCCAAAACAAGAGGCTGTAATACAATCTGTTATTGACGCCATTCAAGCAGAAGCTTTTAATCCCAAGACTCTTTTTCTGATTGGCAGCTATACAATTGGAAAAGAAAGGCTGTTCTTGGAGGTTGCTCGTTCGCTTCGCAAAAAGGTTTACGTAACTGCAGCAAAATTACGCCTTTTAAACTGTTTAGAATTTACTGAGGAGGATATGCAGTGGTCTACTTCAAATGAGCATGAAAGCAATATTCATGTTGCCCCTATGTGGACACTCGCAAGCTTCAAAAGATTGAAGCACATATCAAGTCAATATGCGAGTCGGTTCAGTCTTATAGTTGCTTTGTCTCCTACTGGTTGGACATTTGGCAAAGGTAAAAAGAAGTCTCCTGGAAGAAGGTGGCAGCAGGGTACTGTTATAAGGTATGAAGTTCCTTACAGTGAGCATTCCAGCTTTACAGAACTCAAAGAGTTTGTAAATTTTGTGTCTCCCAATAACATTATACCAAGTGTGAATAATGATGGACCAGAATCTGCGGAAGCAATGGTTTCTCTCCTGTCAACTTGATTTGTGCACTAAAAGGGGTTCAGTTCAATCTACCCTTGTAACATCTGTGTTTGAGAGTCAGGAAGTTGCTTGAGCAATATGAGCAGCAGTAACTTTTTATGCCAATCACTTTTCAGATTTGCTGCTTTGCAAAAAGGTTAAAATGTGAAAAGAGAAGAAACTATATATTTTAGCAGAGGAGCTTATCTTGCTTATTTTCATGCGAAAGTATGCACGTTTATGTCAACCGTGACATAAAATCTGAAGTGATCGCTGTCCACTACATACTAAGTTGGGAAGTGTTTACAACCCCTTCCTCTGTTGATCCTGAATTAACCCAATGCTTTTTCCAGCAATAAGATGGAGCTTGTCAAAGTTCTTGCTGCACTGCAACCTGTTGGTCTTACGTTATTGTTTGATATCTTTAACATTTGGTTGCAGATAATAATGCTTAGCGCTTTAAAAACCTCTATAGCCTGTATTATTTGTGTAATTTTGCTTTGTACTTTAAATTCTCAGCTTTCTACATTCTGCTGTAACTGATCACATAATAGTTAACAATTATATGGATGCTTGATTATGCACTTAGACAGGTTGTGTCCAACTTAACTCCAGCCAAGGAAGGATCAATCACTGGAATTCAATGGCACTGGTACAAAAAACATAGCAGAATATCATGCTTGCCAAACTCTGTTGGTGATTGTTGCAAATGTGCTTGGTGGAAAGAAATTAGAGTCAACTTGTTTGTCCCTTCTAGATGTTAAGATATCTTCCTCAATCAAATGGGAAAGAAGTTTATTGAGAAACTGAATGTTTATTATCAACCCATTTTCTGGGCCATGTATTCGGTGCGTCAACTAGACCCAACCAGCCAAACCCAGTTTGATAACCCGAATGATTCAAATAAGGAAGAGATGTCGTTGTACTGACAAGGGTAAGTTTAAAACTGAGCTGCACACTAATACAAACGCTAGCATCAACACAAGACTAAGCTTGGTGGGAAGGCTGAAACTTCAAAAAGGAAATTTATCTAATCAGAATAAAGAGGCGGTACAAGTTGAATTAACTGACAAATGGTATCCTAATATGCCATTTTTGGATGTTCCTTTGTTAAAGCAGCTGGCTGCCGAAGGAATTGTTTGTAGGACAGAAGCTTGAAGAATGGGAAACAGAAGATTAATTAACAGCTCATCAATCTCCTCCTAACAACTTTATAACTCTCTAACTACCTCCAAACAGAATTCCCAACTAGCATAACCACCTTGTAACCAACTCTCAATCTCACCCTTCAATCCCTAACAAACTCTATCCAAATCAATGGTTCAGATTGATTCCCACATAACCGTTTCCTCCCTCAACTACCTATATAATCCAAACCCCCTCCAAGTTTTGAGGGGACGAGGTCACGTTCTCTTTTCCAGTTTCAGAACTTCATCATTGTATCAGCTTCAAAACAACTTCTTCCCTCTCCATCATTCACTCTCAATTTTTCTGAACTCTCATAATCTTCAACTTCCCCTCTCTAAACTCCGTCTTCACCACCACTCTCCATTGTTCGACCTTCAGTTAGTTCTCAAAGCTTCACTTCTCTCTGATTCATCATACAAAGTTCATTTTTCTCAACTCGCGATAATCTTCATAATTGTCATCATTTCCGTTCTTCTCCTATCGCCAACGCACGCAACTCCCAGACCAAAGAAAAAGTGAAGACAGTGAGGAGAGAATCAAGACGAAGCAGACAAGATCAAGAAAAACAATAACTGTATTACCGCACCTCTGGATTTCTGAAGCGCTACCAACGTGCCTTCAATAGGTAATCCTCAATCTTCTTCTTTTTACGACTTTTTTTGCTTGGTCTGTACCATAACCGCGAAGGGTAAAATGCGGCAAACGATAAATCCACCATGTAATCTTGATCGGAAGAAATGTAGAGCTTAAGTTTCGTTGTTAGATTCGAAATAGAGGAAGAGAAATTGACGAAAGCAAGCAAAGGAGTCAAATTCAGAGGGAGACGTTAGGTGGTGTTGGCAAGAAAGGAATCAGAACAGGGGAGAAGGGGTGGAGTCATGGCGGCATCGCCATTGTTGTTGTCTACATGTAGAAGAAAGGCTTTCTGTGTAAAGGAGCTGGAAGGGGTCGTTTACAGCAAACGTCGTCGTTTTGGAATTCTTTTATTTCTTTTTCTCCTTTTATTATTATTCATTTATTTAATTGTTATTTCAAATGGTTAAAACAAAAAAAACAAAAAGAAAAGAAAAGATGAGAAATTATTATATTCTTTTTATTATTTTGCCTTTGGGAATTAATTCATAATTATTCGGTTACTCGAAACTGGTAATTCACTTTGCTCGTCAAGATTCGAGTCGTATGCAGGTTTTTATATGGATATGTTCGAGATGCCGATTGTGATTCATTTTCACATTAAAAGATGCTTCAGTAATGGGGTTTCTGACTCATTTCTTTGTTGGTGCTAGCAGCTCGCAAGAACATCAAGTATCTTTGCTTTTTCTACTTTGCTATACGGGCTAGTATCCGTTTGGTATACTTTCTTTCTATCTTACCTCGCATTTATCTTTTCCCATAGATCATATGAAGTGTGATAGAATCAGGTTTAGGCTAGTCTCCCTATAAAGTTTCTTTCCCTCTTCGCATATGCATTTATAATAACAAAAATTTCTTTTTTTACAAAAAACTTCAAAAATACAAAAAAGGGGAAATTTACTGACAAGAACCACGTCTTGGCTAAGTTTGAGAGATGATAAGCGGGTTTCTTCTCGACCTTATTATTCTCTTGTTCTAAGCTTTGGTAGGGTTCAAGTCTCAAAGATTCATTTCATGAATAAGTAGAGACATGGCTAAAATCTCTCTCTTGAGATCAACTAGCTATTATCTACAAGCAAAAATACCAACCAATACAAAATATTTTTGCCTTCGGGCCCTTCCTTTCAAACTCTTTTCAAAAGAGCGTACTAATTCACTTCTGTGATGACGCGTAAGTTTCTGAAGGTCGAGTTGCGACAGAAGGCGAAATTACTATCGTTCATTCAAAAACAAACAAATTCAAACTTTTTGTGCGTCCAAGCACATTTTTCTCCAAACTTTTCAAGAGAGCATGTTAATTCACTTTTGTGCTGACGCGTAAGTCTCCAAAGGTCGAGTTGCGGCAGAAGGCGAAATTAATATTGTTCAGTAAAAAAAATACAAACAAACAAAAACATGTAAGCCGAACTACGGCTGCTCTGATTCCTTAAAAGGGATACGTAGGCATCGGGGTAGGGCCCGAACGAGCACAATTTTATTTTCCCTACATTCTTTTCTCCTTTCTTTGCATGCATTCTCCCTTCAATAGTGTAATAAACAATAAGCATAGATTAAACACACCCATAAGATAGACAACAAGAGTGGATACCGTAGAGTACTACGGGCGTGTGGGGTGCCAATACCTTCTCCTCTTGTAACAGACTCCCTTACCCTTATCTCTTTGTCGTTCGACCGTGACTCCTCCCTCATCAGGTTTTCTCGATGTTTACCTTTCCCTTCATGTGGGATAAAAGACGTTCGATGGCGACTTCATTGTTTGATGATGTTCAGCCGGTTGTTTCACCAGTTAACACTTATTCCTTTCTTTCTTGCATAAATCAGCTGCATCTCCAGGTCGGTCACAGTGCAGTGGTTTCCAGCTCTTGGAAACATGATTTAGACCATAAAGTAATGAAATAGGCGATCGTCTATATAGAAGTTACCTGCACTCCAGGAGTCTCTAGATGGAATTACCCCGCCTAGACCATGAATCCGTTTGGTGCGAAATTCAGCTTCACTTAACCTCCCAATGCTGTAAAAGAAATCCTTTTTTTGGTAGTCATCCCATACCTTGTTTTCATGGTCATACATGGAACTTCTAGTGTAAGGAATATGAAGAATCTCACCAACAACCTGAGAAGTTAGAGAGATATGAATATCCAGCACATATGTCACCATTTTGCCTTTTTGGGGAGTTAGATTGCTGAAAACACTCTTACCAAATCTGGATAATATGGACTGAACGATGAAATTAATGGTTCTAGACCATAAGCAGCTAAATCATTTTGAAAATAGAAGCATTCTTGGGGAAAGGATGATAGCATACCATATTTAGGATTGGACACTATTTTCCTTTGAAAGTCCTTTGTGAATCTGACTTCTTATTCTTCGGTGAGAGATGAAAGTAATGGATTAGAAGATGAATCAACCTTTTTCTTCCCTTTTTCTGAAGCTGGCACCTTTCTTTTTTGTCTTGAAGCCATGGGTAAGGATTTTAGGGTTTTGGGGGTTTTAGGTTTTTTGAGAGAGAAAGGTGTTTGAGAGCTGAAATTTGGATATGATTTGAGTAGATAGGAAATGAGTGGGTTGTATTAAAGTTTATTTGGCTTTGGAATATGAGAGAGGAATTCTGATCAACACAATTTTTGATCATAAAAGCAAGTTACAGAACGTGCAATCGATTTGCATACAGGTGCAATCGATTTGCACATAAAACAGAATCCAAATAAAACTGAAACGCAGAGTGCAATCGATTTGCATTGATGATGCAATCGATTTGCACTTGAAACATAAAGGTCAGAATTAAAAATACTCAGTGATCAATCGATTTTCACTCTTTGTGCAATCGATTTGCATCAACCAAAAATGACCAAAACCAAATTTTTTTTAAAAATTAAAAACCACTTAACATATATTCACATATAGCATATTTAAAACATATATATAAAATCATAAAAAGGATAGAAGGCACCTTATATGTCTTGTTCGTCAAGTATGCCAAGCTCTCATCGAGTCTTGTAGAACGGTTCTCTTGCCAAAGGTTTGGTGAAGATATCGGCAAGTTGATTATGAGTATTTACAAAGGTTACCTAGACATCTCCTTGAAGTACATGATCACGGAGGAAGTTATGTTGTGTGTATATGTGTTTAGTTCTTGAATGCATGACGAGATTCTTTTTGATGTTTATTGCACTTGTATTGTCGCACCGTAGAGGAATGCATCCTAGATCGAGTCCATAGTCACGAATTTGTTGTTTGAGCCACAAAATTTGAGCACAACTACTACCCGCTGCAATATATTCAGCTTCGGCCGTGCTAAGAGAAACACATGCTTTTTTCTTGCATGCCCATGATACTAATGCATTACCAAGGATTTGACAAGTACCACTTGTGCTTTTTCTATCCGTTTTACAACCTGCATAATCCGCGTCAGAATAACAAACTAAGTTGCAAACACTACCTTTAGGATACCATAGTCCGACATTTGTTGTTCCTTTGAGATACTTCATGATCCTCTTTACCGCCGTGAGATGAGATTCCTTTGGATTAGCTTGAAATAGAGCACAGAGACAAACACTAAACATTATGTCAGGACGACTTGCCGTCAAATATAATAAGGAGCCAATCATACCTCGATACTTTGTAATGTCGATGGAAACACCTAATTCATCTTGATCAACATATGAACCGGAACCCATTGGTGTAGACATTGCCTTACAGTTATCCATGTCGAATCTTTTCAAGAGTTCCTTGCAATATTTGTATTGGTTTATGAAGATGCCATATTTTAGTTGTTTGATTTGAAGTCCAAGAAAATAATTCATTTTACCCATCATGGACATTTCAAATTCTCCTTGCATCATTGCTGAAAATTCTTCACACATTTCTTGATTTGAAGAACCGAAAATGATATCGTCAACATAGACTTGTGCTAGCAAAGTGTCATCTTTGATTTTTCTTTATAAATAGAGTCTTGTCAACTTTGCCTTTTTTAAAGCCTTTTTCGCATAAGAAGTTGCTTAAACGATCATACCATGCCCTTGGTGCTTGCTTCAATCCATAGAGAGCTTTTCTCAATTTAAATACATGAGATGGATTCTTGAAATCTTCGAACCCCGGGGGTTGCTTAACGTAGACTTATTCATTGATATATCCATTCAAGAATACGCTTTTTACATCCATTTGAAAAAGCTGAAAATTTAATGAACAAGCATAGGCAAGTAAGAGACGAATAACTTCTAACCTTGCAACCGGAGTGAAAGTTTCTTCAAAATCTATTCCTTCTTCTTGATTTTCATGTTTTTCAAGTCTTCCAAGTTCCATTTCATATTCTTGAAGTTTTCCAAACAATGTTGCGA